ACACCTTTAAGATTTCATCGTTATCTCGAGTTATTTTTCGCACGTAATAATGGCAAGGAACACAACACATTATTATACACATGACAAAGAATATGAACAAAAACTTATTGAATAAATGAATGTAATTGAAGATGATCGGAATTTATTTTTACAAGAATTTATTCGACATAAACAAAATCTATAAAGACATTCGTTAATGAAACAAATTAATCAGTGAAGAAATGATTTAGTTATTAAAATAAAAAAAATTACTGAAGAATGTCAGTAAAATTTTATTATGTCCATGAAGAAATTATTTAAAAAAATGGATTATAAATCCTCTAATTTAACTGAACAATTAAAACAAATTCAACTAAAAAAAAATCAATGAAATTGATTTAAACAAACTTAAACATAAATTAATTGAATTAACTGATAAACTAAACAATATTTTCCTTGAAGATCATGAAACATTATTTATTAACAAAATTAATCTCATTGATAGATCTATTGAGAAGGGTGAGATTGATGTGTGATTATTCTACCTTAACGCACACCCACACTATTGACTGTTTATATATTATCTCTTTCGACAGATGTCTGCATCGCAGTTATCGAAAGAAAATGAAAGTTCTTGAAATATTATTAGGGTGTGGGGTGTGGGTTTGGATGATAGTGTTGGCGTATTGTACCCAGATCCAAAGCCACACCCTCAAATTTTATTTGAATCTAAAATTAGAGACAACAAATTATTCACATAAAATTTTCAGGATAGGAACTTAATTGTCTCTCACATATGAAAACGAACTTTGCTAAAAACTATTATAACTTAAATTTGTGATTGATAATTCATAAACTAAAATAAATTTATTTTTTATTCAAAATCAAATGATTTTATCTTTTATTTCGATCAATTATATTACTTCACAATTGAGTTATTTTCAAAATAAAACAATTCTCATTTTATTCAGGACATAGTTCATATTTTTGAATTCGAGAATTAAAAGTATCAGCAACATAAAGATTTCCATCAACATCAAATGATACATCTTTAGGTGAATTTAATCGATTTGATTCATCTCCATAACCATTTACACCAATAACAATTGAACCGTTTATATCTCCCTCACGCCAACTCATAACTCGATGATTTCCACAGTCTGCAATAATCATTTGGTCCAAATTATCAATAATCACCGCATAAGGTTGAACTAATTGATTGAGATGATCACCTCTTCCATTTCCACCAGCAACAATAATTCCTTCTTGTGCATCTTTTTTCCATTTCATTATACGATGGTTTTGTTGATCCGATATGTAAACAGAATAATCTTCATCAACGAAGACACTGCCAGGATAATTGAATTGATTTAGATGACTTCCTTGGCCATTTCCACCTGCAATTAGTGTTCCGTCTGTGTCTCCTTCTTTCCATCGTCTTACGTCCAACCTCATCCAATCAGAAACATAAACAGACCCATCTTTGTCTATTGCTACACCGTTACAGGAAATATTAGAAATAAGAATTTGTGGATTTGTTTGACTTTGACGAAACAATCGCACTACTCGTTTGTTCCCCGTATCACATATGATTATTGCGTTCTTCTCTTTGTCAAGAACTACATCGATTGGATTAACGAGTCGATTCAGGCTATTCCCTTCTTCGTTTACGCCTACAATAACTTCACCATTATTCGACTTATATTTCCATTCAACAATACGATGATTGTGATAATCAACAATCACAATAGCTTTTTTATCATCGATAGAAATCGCACTAGGAAAGAAGAGTTGATTTAATTGATCTCCGCCTCCATTTCCTCCAGCAATAGTAATTCCATGTTGTTTCCATTTCTTATATTTTGGTTTGCTTTGTACTAAAAGTGAAGAAGAAAAATTTGGTATTAAACTAGAATCTAACAATACCGATTTAATCAAAAATGTCAGAACAAAAAAAACAGGATTAATTTTTATAAAGAAATTTCATTTGATTTTTGCAAAGTTCAAGAAGAAAGCAATGTAAAGATTGATGATTTATCTCAAATCAGAACTTTGGTTTTATTTTGAAAAGAAATGTTGAATTACATATGAAAAAAATATTTAAATTTGAATAGAATTAAAAAGAAAAATGGATTTTAAAGATTCGCTGAATTTATTAATCAATAATGATTCGATCGAAGATCTTTGCATTTTTTTGAAAATACAATCAACAAAAAAAACAATTTATCGTTGGAATTAGTTGGAGATAAAAGATAATTAAAGCTTTATCTTTGATATTAAATAACAAAAGAAAACTGAATAAAAAGATGTTTGCATTGTTCTTTCGAACAAGCGAATCAGAGTTTGTTTTTTGAATTGATGATGCATATCGATAGATGACTAATCAAGAGTCAACATAAGACAGATTCTCATATTTATACTGGCACAATTCTGTATTCTGCGATATTTCCTCCAGCTGTTTGTCGACTAGTTTTCTATCGGAATTTTGACAGCAGTATACTCTAAACGAACATCCTATCAGAAAGATCTTCTTTATGGCGCACAATGCTTAAAAGATTTCGAAACTTTAGGTACAAGATAATACTATTGTCCTATATCAAGATCTGTAATTTGATCTTTTATGTAGATTTATAAAATCTTGGGTGTGGGTGTGGATCAGAATGAGGGTGCGGGTGGAAGTGTGGGTGAAAATGGAAGTGAGAGTGAAAAGGATAGTACCCACACTCACCATACCCACCAACATTCACATCCATCCTCACACCTGAGCCTTGAGCGAGCCCGAGCCCTGACCGGGCCTCTCGGGCTCAGGCTCGGTACATCTCTAAATCTTCTGTTTAAATTTGTAAGATGAACTCACATTTATCTACTTTGTATCTTGATTGCAAGATGCTTTATTGGAGAAATTACAAACTAATAAACTTTCAGAGGACAGTTTTTGAAAAAAATATTGGAATTTCCTTCTTCATTTTCCATTTGTGAATTTTATTCTTTAAAATGTATGAAAGACTTTTCTAAATATATATTCTTATCTCTCAACTTTAAGTAAAGAATGATAATAGAAACCCACTCATACAAAGACAAAAGGTCGTTTTGAAAAAAAGTAAGTAAATCTTCTCTGCTTGAAATAGTTCTTCAAAGTTCTTCCTTGGTAAAATCAAACTATCGCTATATCCCTTAGTAAAATATGATTTAGAATTTATCTCTGTCAAAAATTAAACAATAGAATTCTAATCTGTATGAATATTTCTATAAAATATTCAAAAATAAAATCAATACTCAACACATCATGCAAATGTGTTAATAATTTACTAAAAAAGAAAAGGTTACCACTTTATTTTATTTTGTTAATATTATACCTTGTGTCGTCGGGTTGGCCACTGTTGTTGTTAATTCATGAGTTGTCATTTTTGTTGTTTTTGTTGTCACAGTTGATAGTTTTGTTATGTCTGCTGTTTCTTTTTTACTAATCACGACTGGAATAGTTATCATCAAAATAACAATGATAATACCAATAATAATCCATAACAATCCCATTTTTTCACAACATTTTCTCCTATAATCGAAAGTAACGGGTGGTGCAAAAGGTTTGCATTAATTTTGTTACTTCTGCATACCACTGTAGGATTACTGTAGAGAATCGAATTTTTTTTGGAAGATAGCTAATGATCTCCTGTACAAAATTAATTCACAAAGTATTTTCATTGAACACGTCGGTTTTACGCTAGGGACTAATTACTGTAACTGTCTAAGAAACATGCCCGCAACATGAAACGTATATGAAGTCTCGATTGATCTTATGGGATGTTTAAGTACAGGACAAGAAATCTGGTTGTTCGGATTTACAGCGGTAAACAAGTACTATTAAATAGTATATAAACGTTCGTTTTATCCAATCTGTTTTTTAGCAAAATAATTATTTGTCTAATTTAGACTAAGAATTATTCGGTATATATAGGGATGTATCAAGTCCGAGAGGCTTGGGCTCGGCCAGGCTCGGGCTCGGGTGTGGGTGGGTGAGAGTATGAGTGAGAGTGAAAAGGATAGTACCCGCATACACAGTCACCACACCCTCAAGATGGTGCTAAACCTTTTTCGCTGGTGTAAAACTTTCTGTTCAATGAAAAGTCAAAAACATGTAGGTCAGAAAACACTCATATCTCATTTTTATAGATCGTTTTGAGATTTATTGGAATCACCATTCGGATACTTTTAATAAGTTATCTTCGACGAGAAACTTAAAAAATAAAAAGTGTGTTGAACCTTTTTTCCCATTTTATTATACTTAAGCGAATGAAGTTAAATTTTTCTAAAAAGGTACAATCGATAGAGTTTTTATTTGGCTATCTGCTCATATATTTGGATGTAATATTCTCTCTAGTTAGAGAAAAGAATAAGAAAAAAACGTACTATTTAAAAGTTACGGAGGGGCCTTCGCGTCATTAAAATTGTTATAGGTGTAAAAGTACCCTACCATATACAATCCATATGCTTTTCAAACAAAGTTTGTACAAGAGACCATTAGCTATCTTTCAAAAACAAATTGATTCCCTACAGTAATCCTACATTGAGATACGGAAGTAACAAAATTTAATGCAAAAATTTTGCATCACTCGTTACTTTTGATTATGAGTTTCAACAATTCATAAAACACATACAACAATGTTGATTGATCAGTTGATGTTTGTTCAGAATTCGACGTAACTGATTTAGATTCAGACTAAAATAGTTTATTAAAATCAAACGTTATTTTATCTAATTTAAACAAAATCTATTACATCACAAACTCCTATTTGATTTCGACTCATAATGAATGTTTTGTGCACGTGTGAAATTGAATTGATACCTTATGAAAATCAATAATCTAAAATATCTAATAAAAAACACATGATATCATAAGAAAATATATCTTCAAAGATGAGGAGAAAATAATACTTGAGCAAAACTAAAATAATGAAAAAACACTTTGTTTACGAATCAATAGAAAGAAAATTATTAATATAGAAATATGTTTATAAGACTTTTCGGAATAGTTTTAAATGATTCTGCTAAAACTGAAAAAACAAAAACATTTAAAAAAGCGTTGAAATTTATATTCGTTCATAGAAGCTGAAAAATCTTTCTTTTTCCATTATTCACATAGCATTACGTTATATTAACACTTACTCAAATCCAGTTGACCAAGAACAAGAAGTTGTTTTGCAGTGCTAGTATCAAGTAACTGACTACAAAATCGTTAAAGTGACAGAAAATACTTTAATATGCTGCTGCAAATTAATAACTATGAAAACAACAAACGTTTTGCTTCTCAGATAGAGGTGTAAGCCGTCAGCCGAGTTTTGCTGAAGCCGACGGCTTACACCTCTAGTCTACAGAATGATATCAACGTAAAGTATTTTTAATGAAACATCTGCAACATAAAACAACATTAAAAATAAATGGATAAATAAGAACAATAAATTCGCTTCCTTCCTCAAAGCTGATTGCTGAACAAAATTTTACCAGATGTCAGTTATAATTTGCTGTAAATACAATAAATATTCATGATACTAAAACTTTGGAGGAAGGATATGAAAGAAAAACATTGAAAACTGTTATTTAAAAA